CCTCTAATCATACAAAGATCAGATATCCAATTCACAAACAATTAAGCCATAAAAAATCATCAAACATCCACCACCTTTGATTGCCTAAATTTGGTTTTTCGCAAAGTTATGGACTCTTAAGGGTAACGTTCATGGGTAGTCTGTTTCATAACTCTAGAGAGCATAGTAAGCAGCCACCAACCAGACACAGTGCGGTAGGCGAATATGATTCTCAATTCACAATTTCTCACCACCGGAAGTAAGAAAAGACCATTATAAGCGTAGCGTTCATGGGTGGTCTGTTTCATAGCACTACTACACAATTTGTTAAAAAGGAAAGAAAGGTATTTAGCATCACGACGGAACAACTTTTACAGGCCAACAACGACAACATACTGCAACCACCAGAACTGGTATCACAACTCATAGGGAAAATCAAAAGATTTACTCTCAAATTAAGTAGTTACAACATCGAGCAATCGTCAAGCACATACACCATTACAAAAGTCACAGAACCTGATTCACAAAGCATTCAAACATTTGAGGACATTTCTGCAAAGGTACAACTTATATGTCTTTTTTCCAAGCCATTTCCATCAACATGCTAATAAATTTGCAATGCATAAAACAAACAGGCCAAAACTTGAAATTCAACCTGTTTGACCGACCCATGCCAAATTCTAATTATTCTTTACTTTTAAACATTCTATTTGAAAATAAAAAATAGTGAAAGAAAAGAGACGACTACAATTCGCCATTTGCACATCACTTATTTGGGAATAAAACCATATAAATTCAAAAGGAACTGTTTAGGATCGTTTTAATGTTTAAAATAACCAAATAGATCTTTATGTTTAGTTTTTTACTAACAAATACCAAACGATTCCCTATAAAATACACTATAATTTGATCATTATGATGTCAAATAATTATAAAATATATATTTGAAATGATAAAAATTGGACTAATTGGGTTGGTCGAGGTTGAACCATTGAATAACTTTAAAATACATTATATTTTAGCCACTAAGATATAAAATAATAGCATATATATATTATGTCAGAGAAAATAGCTTGTTTTAGAATGGCAAACCAATGATGTTCATTTGTTTTACTTGATGACCTAATCCCATGTAGGTCAGGCTCATTCAACTCTTTTGTTTTATGTTTAGCGGTTAGCCCATTAGATACCATGCATTAGTTTATTGTTAAATTTTTTATTTTTAATAATAAAAAGGAGTATTATTTTTTCCTTTTCATATATATTTTATCCCCACGGAGAAATAAAAGGGTATAAAGAAAAAAATTGACACTCCTGGACCCGTTTAAATCCGCATGTGTACGGTAAGTTGGCCCGTTCCACAGAGGAAAGAGAAAAAAATTGACACTCCCTATTCCACCATTCCTACAAACGCTCCTGGAATAGGAAATTTGAAATAGGGGAAGAGTTTTTCCCACCCTGCTATTATATGTTTTTAATTTAAAAAGATACAACAAATGTATTTAGTGTGATTGGTTATGATCTTTGTCTTTCTTTAAAATGGTCATGGTTCGAATCCCAGTATGTATCTTTTTAATGAATAAAAAAAAGTAATTGTGAAGACCAAAATGTCCTTCCTACTTTCACTCTCATTGCAGGAAATTTGAAATGGGGCTCCCGTTTTTCCCTTCGGTGTATTATATTATGTGTAGATTTGATTAAGAGGAAACCTAATAGTGGACAACACAAGCCCTAACCTGAAAGCCCAAACCCGGTCCAACCCCAAGGAAGGAAACTTTAAAAGTATGTTGTTTGTTCTGCTTCTTAGAGAATTTGAGTTGCAGCATGGATGTTTTCTTGATTGGGTTTTGGTAAAACCCGCAATCGCCTTAATTCACCAATTCTAAAAGAGGATATTGTTTACACTTAACTAAAAAATCGTCAACGTAAGATTTTATTATGTTGACTGGGTTGGATTCGGTTGGGTAGGGAATGGATCAGGTCAGTAACCTTATGGTGAGTAACCATGAGTAACCCATCCACATCAGCATGACATCAGCATTCTCTCTCTCCTGGAAAGCCTTTAATTTTCCCCTCTTTAATCTTTGACGGACGATTTCTCACTCATTTTAAGTCGAAATTTAATTTTCTTTGCACAGTTAGATCAGATTAATTTTGATCTTCAAAATGATATACACTTTAATATATTTTTCAAACAAAAAAAATTGAGCCATTTTTACCAGTCTATACCATATGGTATTGACTGGTATTGAAATAAAAGCATACCTATGTTTTGAAAAACGTACCATGGTGGTATGAACAAACCAAGACTGTAGGATGGTTGAATAAATGATAGTAGAAGTATATTAATTGTCATTTACGACTTTTAACATTGTATACCACACAATACCACCCCGTACCAGGGTGGTATTGTATGATATTGTGTGGTATTCCTGTAATTTGTTCACCCAGAAATTCGTAAATCCAATAGATCATGATGAACTCGTCCCTTCTGTGCAATCGTTTTCAAAAACGAATTAAAAATGAAGAAGATACCATACAATACCAGGGTGGTATTGTATGGTATTGTGTGGTATTTTTTGGTCCTGTAATTTGTTCACCCAGAAATTTGTAGATCCAATAGATCATGATGAACTCGTCCCTTATGTGCAAACTTTTTCAAAAACGAATTAAAAACGAAGAAGATACCATATGGTATGCAGTTGGTACCGAGAGGCCAAATTTTTTTTTTCTCAAAAAATATTGAAAATTGATCTCATTTTGTAGAGCACGATGAACTCGTTCCATCTGTGCAAAAAAAATTAAAATCCGAGTTAAAACGAAAAAGATATGAGTCAATTAAGAAAGGTAGAAAAAATAAAAAAGGTCTTTAATTCTCCTTCCTTAGATCTGAATTTTCTAAATAAAGGGTCCAGATTTGGTTATTGATGGGTGCATAACCCATGGTTATGCACCCTATCTTAAGCCGGTTGAGTACTCGTGAGTGCATGTTCAAAAGGGAATGAGATGGAATGCTAACTCATCAATAGGTTAGCACCGTGCTAACCACTGCCATCCTCCTTTATTGATATTTCATTTAATCTGGCGATCCTCATAAGCGGTGGGTATTTTGAGAATTCTAAAATATAATAGGAATATATATATGAACGTGATTTCAGGAGTAAAAGGAGAGGATGAACAAGATTTGGAGATATAAAGAGTCCCAACACGTCTCTTTCTTCTTTCCTTCGCATCTCCTCCGTCGCCGTCATATTTCACGATTAAAACCGTCATCATTTGATGTTCATTTTTCTCTGCCCTCTCCCAGTCTTGAACTCTTGATGGCTCCGGTGTTCCTATTTATCCCGTGGACGTGTCTTTAGTCTCCTGCATCACCCGACTCTCGGTTGTTTCTTCACTAACCTGTTTTGGCTTCCTTCTCCGGCGATCATCATGGGTTTGTAAGAAGCGCAAGTCTTTATCAAAGTATTAGCGTGTTTCATCTCTATAGTAGTAGTGTTTTGGCCCGAGTCTAAAGGCAATATTGTCATACTGTGTTCTTTTTTGTAGGATGTGGTAGTGATTATGTTCTCTTTCTGGTGATTCTTTAGTCCTTGTATTAGTCATTACTGTTTTTTGTGTTTTGAGATTAGTAGTGATTTTGTGATGGTGTGATAGTCTTGGTGGAGTAGTTTGTGAACTCTCGTAGTGGTCTATGTAACAGATTCCGTTGGAGTGATTATGTTCTAGTATAGTAGTGATTCTTTGTTCAATAAACACTATAAGTACCACTACTACTAGAACGATTTCGAAAAAAATATTACGAGTACCATTACTATATTGTCCATAGTGCGACTTAGTTGTCAAATATATCACACCATATCGAAAATACTACTAGAAGAATCACTACAACCGTTTAAAAAACACTATGAGTACCCACTACTACATTGACTAAAGTACTACCACTACTTAGTTGCCAAAAATACTTCTAATACCATTTCAAAAACACTACTTATACCCACTAGTACCACTACAACGACAGCCATTTCGGAAGTACTACCAGCACTTGTACCACTACTACATTGCCCAAACTACTATCACAATTCGGTTGCCGAAAAGTACTACTACAAGCCTTATTGAATTGGAAAACATTAAACATTAACGTATATGTGTTGAGCACAACTATTCAAATAAATAAAGTTTCTCATGCAAAACCACTACACCTAATTGGGATTTGGGAGTAAACGGGTTACATGAAGACAAATCATTTTCCTTAATAATGACTTCAAACTTCAAAGCCTCGTCCACCACCTCTAGTTCCTGGGAAGTTCAAAATGGGGAATGTAACCGCAATTAGGGCTGCCGGTTCGGGTCGGGTCGGGTAATCGAACCCGAAACCCACAAAAACCCGAAACCCGAAACCGCTTCCCTCAAACCCGAAACCGAAACCGAATTCTGTGTCCTGCGGGTTGCGGGTTCATAAACCCGAAAAAATAGCTGGTGGTTTCGGTTCGGTTCGGGTGAACCCGAAACCGAACCGATTTTTTTTTAACTATTTCTGTACTTTGAATTTGATATTCTTTTGTTTATACAAACACTTTTATTCTTATTATTTGTACATTCTTAAACATAAAACATACTATTTTATTCTTATTAGTTAATTATTAAAATATTATTATTATTATTTGTACATTCTTTTGTTTGTACAAACAATTTTATTCTTATTAGTTAATTATTAGTTAACTATAGAGAATGGGCAAAATATGGCAAGGAAGAAGAATTAAAGGGAGAGGAAATGGAAACTTTTGTCGGTAATGGGTTTGGTAATTTAAATTTAGTCAAACTCGTCGATGATCATGGTAATTAGTTGACTAGGAGACTAGAGGAAAAATTAATTTGGGAGGGACAGTTTAGTAAGTAAATTCGACTAATCAATTTCCTATTTTGGGAGCTTTGATTATGGTTAATCATCAAAACAGAATTTAAGTGCAAAATAAAAAATCCATGTCATGCTATCATCCAAAAAAGATACCGTTTTTCAATCCTTGATTATAATTTCATTTAGATGAGACGAGTTTGATTTAAAAATTCATAAATAAGAAGTTAGAGAAGGAAAGGTGACTATTGAGGGGTTAAGTTTTTATTTATTTTGAGATTGTTTGGGGTTTTTTTAAAATTTTTTGAGATGATTGTGTGCAAAATCTACCGTTTTATGAATTGTTTCACATGAGTTGCTTACCTCATTTTGTTTATGGGGGACCAAGTTCAACTCGTAATTAAACACATTAGTTTTACAATTCTCAAATGATAACATCCAAGTAAAATAAAAATTCATCCACCATACAAGATAAATACTACTACCATTATAACTCCTCATCAGGCTCTACATCTACATAAGTCTCATCATTCTCATCGGAATTGTTGTCGACATAGTCTTCTTCCACTTGTGACATAGGTGGACTCGAGACCAAAACATGGGTAGCAGGAGAGCTTCCACTGGGTCCTGCACGAGAGCTTCCACTAGGACCTGCAGGTGCACTTGCACTCCGAGCTTGAAAAGCTACATATACTGGATAACATAAACAATAACAAATTGTTAGAATATGACTTGATCAAGATAACAAATATAAGAATAAAGAGAAAGATTAAAACCTTACCATTTTGAAATACCACTTCATCACCCTCATCTTCTCCATCAGCCACCAACTCAGAGTCTGAAGATCTTATCCAATCTTCACAACAAATCAACGCCTCCACAACTTCAGGGGATAAGGAGGTCCTAAACGAATCTAAAACTCGACCTCCTGTGCTGAATGCCGACTCAGAAGCAACAGTGGAAATAGGAACAGCAAGAATATCCCTAGCCATCTCAGAAATAGTAGGATATTTCATCCCACTTCGCGACCACCATCCCAAGATGTCAAATTTGTATTCATCCTCTTCTGAACCCACCAATGCTCGTGTAACCACTTCATCATCATCCTCCTCCTCAAGGTACCTATCAAACTCAGATTTTGAACTTTTTCTGGTTCCTTTCAGAATGGCATCTCTTTTCATTTTCCTGAAATCACCCCAAATCTTCCCTTTCTTCTTCCCATCCCCACTTGAAGTAGATACTTCTTTTTTATAAAGTCACAAGCCAACCAATCCAGAACATGTAAGAGATCTAATGTCACAATGCTGCGATTCATAGGAAACCACATCGTAAATTTATTTTCAATTCTCAATGCTGCGATTCATAGGAAACCATATCGTAAAGAATTAAAATGAGAGGAAACCACATCGTAAATTTAATAAGCCTGATTTTAAGTCTAGAAAAACAGCTTGCGTTTAGTTTTAGGTAGCATCTGGCAAGAGAGAAGTCTAGAAAAACAGCTTGCGTTTAGTTTTAGGTAGCATCTGGCAAGAGAGAAGTGAACTCGAACAATGAAAGAAGGTCCTTTCAAGGAAGGATCTCAAAGAAAGAAGGAAAGATGACCTCCTAACCATGTTCTTCAGAATTGAAACCAAAACCAAGCAAAAGCCAAACGCACCCAATTCCCATCATTCCTTCACCATTTAAACCCCTGACAAAGCTTCAAGAGCTACGCTCTTCGTCCCCATTATAAACAATACCACGCATTTCCAAGAGAGAGCAGAGAGAGAAACAGAGAGAACGAGAACCAAACCTATAAATCGTGAAGCAAACAAGAACCAATAGAATTCAAGGACCAATAACAGAGAGAAACAGCTCCGTAATGGAGGATTGCAGGAGATTCAAACCTAGTAAAACTAAAACTAATTCCTCAGGAAAAAAAACCCAAAACCAAAACTCTGCAGTTACAAAAGTCCCCTAAGCCCCTCATTGTTGCTGCAGAGAGTTTCATCTGTGAGCGGTGACCAATGTCTCTATAAACCTCAACCCGTCAAATCGAGGAACGAATTTCCCCTGCTTCTCCTCTTATCTGATGGCATTAAGAACTAATTTTCATCAACTGACCAGTGACCAACCATCTCATCGCCAATGGCATCTAAAAATAGAGAGACGAATGTAAAAGCAGTAAACTTTTAAATGGTAGAGATTCAGCAAGCAAATATCTTGACATCACTTGACAATTGATCAATTGCCAATCAGATCAAGTGTTCGATTGTGATATATGAATCATCCCCATCTCAACAAATTCTGAAAACAGAAACGACAATGGAAGGAAACCAAAGATTATGAAATTGATACAAAACTCGACATTTTCTCAAGATTTCAAAACTGGGGAAGCCAAAGAGGATACTCATATTAGGTTCGATTCTGCCAGCTGATTTCCTCAATTTAAAATCAGAAGAGGGAGCGTGGATCCTCATCGTAACCTCGTTCAGAAAGCTTCCCTAATTCCAAAACCAACAAAAATTGAAAAACGAATGGACTGAAACAAAGTGCGAGGAAGAACTCACTGGGATTCCATGGTGGAGTCGTCAAAAGAATGTGGGCAGGGCACTGGGTCTCTCCTTCCCGAGGTGAAGAGCGAAGCGGCGAGGACGTTGACGGTGGCGAGGACGTTGACGGCGGCTGAGAAGGGACTGGGAGGCTCTGTTTCGCGAAGCCTAATTGAAGCCTCGAACCCAGATGGATTGCTGCATTGCTGGAAGGCGGAGGGAAGGCGAATCGGGAGATTGACGGCGGTGAGGATGTTGACGGTGGCGAGGACGTTGACGGCGGCTGAGAAGGAGCTCTGTTTCGCGAAACCTCGAGCACGAGCAGTCGTCTCCACTCTCCAGTCGAAGTGACGAAACCTTCCCCAAACGCGAACGGCGAACCCTAAGAGTTCCTTATCCAAGAAAACGTCACCGTTCACTCCAAGCAGTTTCGGGTTTTCCGGGTTTTTATCGGTTTTCGGGTTACACCAAAACCGAAACCGCTACTTACTGGTCCGGTTTGAAACCGAAAAACCAAAACCGCCATCTGTGTTTTCGGTTCGGGTTCGGTTTAACCCGAAAACCCGAAACCGATTGGACAGGCCTAACCGCAATGCCCAAAAAATCCGCCCCTAAAATCTGCCCGTATAAATGAAAATTAATTTGTATTTTTAATATTTATTGTTGTCTGTCCCTAATATACCCTTACTGGTTTTGTAGCCATTAGATTTGGAATTGTTGTGGACGGTGTAGATCGTAGTTAGGACGGTGCTATCCCCCTATGAAGTTAGCACCCTATCTTCTTCCAATTGATATTATTGTACTTCATTCTAATATGGGTGGGGGAGGGGAGAGTTAAACTTGAGTTTGCAAATCATGTGTTTATTACTTATTATTATGATGTATTTGATCCGCATTTTGTAGCAGGATGATGTTATCAATGTTAGAAGTATTGGGTGTCAATTGTAATTAGACTTTAATCATTGTGTTAGTAGTATTGGTTAATTACATTCTGGTAATTGAGATAGGGTTATTCACCCATGATAAATAGGTGAAGTTGGTTGTACGTGTAACCTAAATATTCTCGGTTAATACAATTGACTATTTTCCTTCCTTTCAGTGTTGATTGTAACTTTGTACACCGTGTTTAGATTTAATGAATAGCTCTTTTAAGGACTACCACTTTTATCGCAGCCATAATTTTGGAATGTACGTTGATCCAAAATCCCCGTATATCCAAAAATAATTCTTGTTTTGAAAATTCCTTCATAACTGTGCTTATTCAGTGCGATTTCAGTTCAACCGCACCGACATCGTTTTCCCACCTCGGGTTGATTAATAAACATTCTAGTGTCAAATGATTAGCATTTACTAGGGCTGGGAAAAAGATTTCGGTTTTGCGGTTAAACTGAAATTGCACCGAATAAGTATAGTTAGTGGTTAACCACAAACCGTTTAAAGGGGGTCATATTCGGTCGCGGTTAGCAAAAATGGTCATTCTACGGTTTGTGAACTAACCGTAAATCACACCAAATAGCAAACTAACCGCATATTGTTTAAACTGTAGAATATTTGGCCTACCCAATAAAAAATGTTTCATGTCGATGGGCCCAACCACTACCAATCCTCTTTCAACGTGAATCCGATCCAATCCACTCTGTTTTCCTATGTTGGAGGTCGACAACATCTTCACCAAATCCAATTTTTTTATTTTTGTTTCCATCATCTTCGCTACGCGATTAAGCATAACTAACCGCAAACCGCAATTTGCGGTGCGATTGCGGTTGGTGATTTTGCCCTTATTCGGTGTGGTTAATCGTAATCGCACCATTTCCCACCCCTAGCATTTATGGAGCCGATTTAGTAAGTATTATTGGATCAAAGTAACCATTCTTGTGTTCTTTAGCAAGCATTTAGGTTACTACTTACTAGTGACCAGTAACCATTCATGGGTCCATTAGCAAGCATTTAAGGGTAGTACTAATCATTTAGCTGTCAATTAGAGACTATTGGATGGACTATACTTGTAAAATATTCTCTCATTTTACGATGTAAATACACCGAAAACTTACTTTACCCTCAACGTTCATATAGGTCACCTAAAAATTTGAGATGAGAATTGAGAAGGCAGTAATTAGTGAGAGCTCTTATGATTAGGGATGGAATTTGGCTAGACTTGCCTCTGATCCTATGAGAACCCTATCTGATATGTTCTAGTCGGGTTAATTTATAAAACTAGCATGCATGTCTTGTCCTGTTTTCTTTTTGAACCTGTATTGTATGATGTTTTAGGATTGGATCGAATCGGTTTGAGCCGAACTAGTGGGTCTGCTCAAACCAATCGACACATTGATGTTTGAAAATTACATTTTCATAACTAAATTTATTTTTTTCTTATAATTTAGTACCTAAAATATAATATTTTAACAAATAGGTCTAGAAATTATGGTGATAAAACTTATAGTTTAGTACCTTTAATTTTTTTTTAATTTGCATTATAGTATCCTACTCATAAAACTTTACAAATAGGTACAATATGTTGGTATGGAGAATTTAATATCTCTAATTATTGGTATGGTCATATGACAAAAAGTGATCCGAAGCTACCCAACCCTTACAAGGTAAAAAATGATCCAAAGCTAAACGACCACTATAGACAAATTGACCCAACTCAACCCTTGAAATTGCGTGTCGGATCAGTGGGCGACTAGGGTGAGGCTTACAGCCGTACTTATGATTGCCACAATCAACCTGATAAACCAAAAAGATCAATTGGGAAAATGAGAAAGAATTGTTTTTGAAGTTTTTAGGCTGCGCTGGCTCCCATTCGTTACGCAGTTCAGAATTACTTGTTGCCCAAGTTGCCATTGTGGAAGTCATGCAAGGCGTCTAGCTATACTGCATATATTATTGCAATAGAATAAAGTCATACTTGAAGTGGGTCCAGATCACGTCAGGAACCTTTCTATTCTATGAGCATGAAAAGCCTGTTACTTTCTTCGGGGGAGGAAACTCTCCTCAAGGCGGTGCTCCAAGCTATCCCAGCCTTCATTATGTGCTTGTTCCTGCTCCCTAGAACCACTACAAATAAGATGAACTCAATGCTGAAGAGGTTCTTTTGGGGAGGGTCTATCACAAAGAAGACAATACACTGGAGAAATGGTCGGATCCTGTATGCTCCAAAAAATGAAGGTGGGATTGGTTTCCGACCGTTTCACGAATACAACTTGGCCCTGCTGGCCAAACAAGCGTGGGGGATCCTGACCAATCCAGATGCTCTTTGGGTCAGACTTCTCAAAGGCCTATACTTTCCGAGGACAGAGTTCCTGGGGGCAAGAAAACGAGGAAGAGCATCATGGATCTGGTCAAGTCTTTGGGAAGCAAAAAACAGGATGGAGCAAGGCCTGATCAGAGTCATTGGGAACGGAGAAACAACCCGGACATTTCAAGACCCATGGCTTTTCGCGAGAGCAGGGAGACTCTTCCCGCAACATACATCGTTCCCGGCTACAATTGATAGCTGGATTGATGGAGTTGATCGGGTTTTGGAAGACTGAGCTCATTGCAGATTTCCTCCCTCCAACTCAGCTCCAACAAGTGCTGAGCACTCCCATTGGACCAGCAGATATGAAGGACTATTGGGCATGGAGATTCATAGAGCAAGGCAACTTCACAGTAAAATCTGCCTTCCATTCTTTTCATAATGAGATGCGGAGATCTCAAGGGGATTATCAAGAGATCCCAGCGAGCTCTAAGGAACGGTGGAAATGGCTGTGGAGCATCTCATTGCCTCTGAAAATGAAATTCTTCATCTGGAAGTGTAGCAGAAATGCACTGACCACGAAGGAAAACCTTCATGCGAGAAGATGCTTCCCATCCAAATAGTGTTCTCTCTGCAATGCCAGTGAAGAATCCATCCAGCATTGCCTTTTCTACTGCCCTCATGCAGCAAAAGGATGGAAAGAGGTGTGGCCATCTCTCAGTCTCCCCCAACAGCACACAAACATCCTGGACTGGTTGCACTCCATTGGCCAAAGGCACGACCCTGTTTCAATTCAAAAGATCATCTTCCTGTTGTGGCATACGTGGAAGGCGAGAAATGAATGCATCTTCAGAGACAAACGGATTTGGCCACCAAGTACGATCACCCAGGCCATGTGCAGCTTTCAACAATGGCTCTCTTGCCCGAAGATTAGGAGACAATCTCTTCATCACCCTCAGCCTGCTCCACCCCCTGATCAACCTACACCACCGCCAAGTACTCATGAGTTTGAGATACACTGTGATGGATCGTTCCTACACGATTCCCAGGATGCGGCTTATGGCGTTGTCATCTCTAACAGCCATGGTCAAGTTTGCGACGGGAAGGCTGAAACCTTACACTGTTTTTCACCTATTGAAGTGGAAGCAAAGGCCCTCCTTGAGGGAGCTCGATCAGCGATCCTCCTTGGATCCCCTTGTCTCATTCGCTCGGATTGTCTTGCCCTGGTTCGGGCAATCCAAGGAACCCCTGACCCTTGGCCGTGGCAAGCTGCGGCATGGATTGGTATCATCAGACATTTGGTGTCCTCCTTCCCTCAGATTCGGATTGAGTTCTTCATCAGAAAGCTCAACTCAAAGACGGATTGGGTGGCCCGGTCCTGTGCCAGGAACCACCTGCCACCTGACTGGATCACATCCTTGAGATTGTTGCTCCTCTTCTGTAATCGTTTTCTTCCACTTCAAGCAATGGAAAACGTGTCTTACAGTCATAAAAAAAAAAACCTCATCCTCTGTCCTCCATTTGTCAGCCTTTCTTCCCCACCCGTGGTTCAAAGCGATCTGCCTCAACGGCAGGCCAATCGGCGCAATCTCCGTGACTGAGAATTCAGGGGACGACTCTTGCCGCGGGGAGATGGGCTACGTGCTGGCGTCGGAGTACTGGGGGAAAGGGATCAAAACGGAGGCGGTGGAGATGGCTGTGAAGGCGGTATTTGAGGAGCGGGTGGAGGCGTTGGTTGATGTGGAGAATGTTGGGTCGCAGTGGGTTTTGCAGGGAAGGTGTTTTGAGGAGGTACGTGGTTCTAAAAAGGAGGACTCGTGATATGGTGATCATGTTGTTTTGTTCGTTTAGTTGGGTTCCTCTGTTTCCCCCCTGTTGTGTGAATGCCTCTGTTTTTTCGCTCTGTATGTGAATTAAACTTTTTTGTTTTTGGTTTGATTATTAGTGCATTTGCTTGCACCCCAAGCAACAAAACCATTACTTTAAAGCCTTTTATCCTCAATCATTGACCAAAAATCTCAATCAAGCTAGGCGGCCAGTACATCCTATATACAAAGCTACAAATCCATGGCCAGTCCACCAACCACCCAACTTCCAGGCAATTTCGCTCCCGATCCACTCATCTTCTATTTATTCATTAGCTCACCAAAATAATTTCATTAGCTCACCAAACAGTCCAAACAAGAAGAAAAAGACATGGACCCAGAAACTGCAAACGGCACCGTTTCCGAAACCGTCACCCTCCGACGGCTGGAAGTCTCCGACGTCGACGATTTCATGGTGTGGGCTGGAGACGAGAGAGTGGCGAAATTCTGCACGTGGGAGCCGTGCACCAACAAAGACCAAGCCCTCGATTTCATTAAGAGCAGGGTCATCACTCACCCGTGGCTCAGGGCGATCTGTCTCGAAGGCAGGCCAATCGGTACCATTTTGATGACCAGAGATTCCGGCGGCGGCGATGCTTGCCGCGCGGAGATCGGGTACCACGTGGCGTGGCAGCACTGGGGGAAAGGGATCGCGACGGCGGCGGTGAAGATGGCGGTGAAGGAGGTGTTTGCGGAGTGGGGGCCGCAGCTGGAGCGGGTGGAGGGTTTGGTGGATGCGGAGAATGTTGGGTCGCAGAGGGTTTTGGAGAAGGCTGGGTTTTGCAGGGAAGGTTTGCTGAGGAAGTATTTTGTTCTCAAGGGGAGGACTTGTGATATGGTGATGTTTAGCATTTTGGCTACTGATGTACTTCCTTGTTGAAACTTATCCAGAGGTGTATTATATTGTTTGTTTCTTTTGCTCTATTTTCTCTCTGTTCTTTGGCCGAATTAAGCTTACCGAACTTGAATTTGAGACTTTCCTCAGTTCCTGTAGAGGCTCGTGTGCTTCAACTTCGTCAAGTAGGATCTTGGGGGCTTGAAGTATCTTTAATTCCGACGTTGAGAATTGCAGTTGCTAAGATGCTCTGTTTTCCCATTTTGGTATCATTCTGATAATATTATGGTCTTGAGCTGTTTCCTGTTTATGTTTTCATACCCATCTTCTGATATGTTTATGAACCTTCACATTTGGTAGAGAATCTATTTGTATGTGACCAACCAGCATCACATAGGCGAGGCTTCAATGAAGAAGAAGCATGATGACATACACACTTGGATGAGGATGATTCACATTTTAAAAAAGATTATTAGTGGATTTTTGGCACAACTTATAAGCTCCTAAGTGACGTTGAATACTTCAGAGCTCACAACATAGTTGCAGGGGGTGGTCTTCGGTTCACATCGTATCACATTGATATATGGATTGTTGCGGTTACTTAAACGATGTTAGTATTGGGCCTTGTTGGGTCTTGTCCGAGTTGTAGTACGTACGGATAATTGCTCGTACTCGACTCTTCTCGTTAGGATTTTAACCCTAGTCTATCTCTATATAAGACTTAGATACGAACCTGTCGTAAGCAAGCTGTCACAATGTAAACCTAATAAGAGATCAGCTGTGAGCTCTTTAGAGTTCACCGTGGATTAGTCCTGTTCACGTCGAACAGGGATACCACGTAAAACTCTTGTGTTCTGTGTGATTATTTTCCGCGTCATCAAATTCTACATGGTATCACAGCGAAATTCGATCCCATGTCTAGGGTTTTGAGCTTTCGCGGTCGGTCTCCATTGTTTCTCCGTCTTCATCAATCGTCGCTGGATAGCCTCAACATCGTCTTATTTTTCCGTGTCTCGAGGTTGTTCAACCATCGATCTCTTCTTCACCGTCCTCCAGTCCGCGATCTGGCCTCCCCGCATCGGTTTCGTCCGCGCCACCAGAATTAGAAGCGCAATCGTCGTCCTTGTCATCGCTGGTCGCAGTCGTCAGTAGATGTTGCTTGCATCCGAGCTCCGGCCAACGTCGCCCTTTCCAGGTTACTGTCAAGAACCAGTTGATCCCAATAACTCGAGTTGTTGGGAGAGGTTCAATCGTGGATCATATACCACAACACTAACACGCCCCCTCAAACGAAAGCCACTCACAAGGGCTTGAAGTTTGCACAGGTCTGAAGACAAGAATACCATGTGCTTAACAAATGGGGGTCACCGGGAATCGAACACAAGACCTCTCGGTCATAGAAGGCTCTGATACCATGTCAAGAACCAGTTGATCCCAATAACTCGAGTTGTTGGGAGAGGTTCAATCGTGGATCATATACCACAACACTAACAGTTACCGCCATTGCCAGCCAGTCAACCTACCAGCCGTCATCGTCGTCTCGAGCAGAATCAGCCTCGTCTGCCCCGTTGATGCCGTTGTCGTCGTCAATCGCAGAGGCGCAGACCCCGATCTTGCTCGGACAAAGATTTAAGCTCTCAAACATCGTCAATACCGCCACCGTCGCAATCAAACGGCAGCGCATCATAGTCGTCTCCACCTTTGCCTCCTGTCGATGTGTCACTGTTGCCGACATCGTCGTTGTCCTTCATCTCATCTGAGTTGTCCATTTCTGACGCCTAGTTTGTCTCGAGCTCACGCAGGTCGCGCCCACACAGCTCAGTTCAGCGCCGAGTCTCTCAAATCTGGTGCCGAACCCGTCTTTGTCTTTGTCCATAAGCTGCCTGCCATCTAAAGTGCTGGTCAGAACGTCTTTCTTGAAGCCTTTGCTGCCGTTGGGTCAACGATATTATCTTGTCATTGTTGCGTCCGAGAGGTCATCATCAAGGCCACTCCTTGATGCCGCTTATTTGATTGGATAAATATTGAGCGAGGTTGGATTATTGGTTGCTTTGGCTTGGTAGTCATAATCCCCTCGCCAATCCGTCATCATCCTGGTTAGCAACGACCTCGTTCTCTAGCGATCCAATCCAGCAGCAAATCGGGGTGCTCAATATCCTATCCCTGGTTGCCCCTCTTGTTTTCATCAAGAGTTGTCTTTTCTTATAGACAAGGTGTACCTTCCTCATGTGGCGCAGAGCTAAACCTTGATGCATTGGAGGAAGATTACAGGAGGAGAAGGCTTGGTTGCTCGTCCCACTCTCTATAAGAAGAAAGAATTTTTTTGTCATGTGTTGTCTTTTTGGTTCATTAAAACACAAGATGTGTTTTGTCGAGAAGTCAACGCGATTCAGTCAAAGGCAGCTGCGGTCATTGTGTTTTGTCAAGAAGTGTTCTTAACGTTGCAGCCGAGGTCATCTTCATCTAGGCCACTCTCAGCTGCCGCTTATTCCATTTCGTTTAGAATATTGTATAGTAAGCCAATCTTTACCAACATCACAGTCATGGCGTTGAAGGCAATCATGATCGACAATGGTCACCTCTTCAAATAGCTATTGTTGGGAAGAAAGAACAGCTCATGTCAACAAAATTTTCAAGTCATTAGTCGATGCATTCACGATCCATAAATGGTCGTCCCCTGGCGTTCAAAAGGTAGTACAATCAGAGAAGTCATCGTACCTTGATCGTCCAACTGATATTCACGATCCAAGAAATGGTCGTCCCCTCTTCCGGTTCATTATTAGGCACATATCAACCATTCATCGCTTTTCAAGCGGGGCATTCACGATGTTCATGCTCCAGCTTGAGGGGGAGAATAGGAGGTCAACATACGTCGGTCAACTAACTCAGTCGTCAAGTCGACCAAGATGTACCAAGTGTATTCAAGTTCACGAGACGCAGTCAACCGTCTCCATCATCAGGTTGTTTATAGAGTGTCAGTCGTCTCCAATCAACCTTGTCCGAGATGTTATTCATCTCGAGTTTTGTTGTTTAAGCCATCATGCTTCTACGTCTAATTTCCTTCTTCAAGCTCGACATTCTTGTCATTCACGTATTCGCTTGAGGGGGACTGTTGCGGTTACTTAAACCGTGTTAGTATTGGGCCTTGTCCGAGTTGTAGTAGGTACGGATAATTGGTCGTACTCAACTATACTCGTTGGGGTTTTAACCCTAGTCTATCTCTATATAAGACTTAGCTACGAACCTGTCGTAAACAAGCCGTCACAATGTAAACCTAATAAGAGATCAGTTGTGAGCTCTTTAGAGCTCACCATGGATTAGTCCTGTTCACGTCGAACAGGATACCACGTAAAACTCTTGTGTTTTGTGTGATTATTTCTATTCTGCGTCATCAAATTCTACATGGATAAGAACGAAAATTCTTTAATTCGGTTTTGATTCCAAGAATTACCTAAAATGTGAAGGAAATTTGGACTTTGGATTGGATCAAATTGAGTCAAATGAACCAAATAGGATTTTGATTCGATTCTAATCTTCATTTCCCCCCTTTATTGTTTGTTTGAATCTATCCCGATTCTATTTGACTTTGGACCAAATCGACAGATGCACGCTTATGAATAGTTGCCATATGGAGTATGCCACTCAATACTGTTGTCATTTGCTTATTAACAAACATCCCACACAAAATCCGATTCATACATCATTGACGACAACAATAGTGAACGGAACGTGTTAGCGTGGTTACCAACAGTGGCGGAGCAACGGCCAACCAAGGGAGGTCGGCTGCACTCCCTTGGATTGACAACCCCACACATAAAGATACACGCAATAATTAACCTTGCAAGAAAAGGGATTGAACAATTGATCTAGCTTGCATTTGAGTACAATTCCACCATTACAATATTATATATTTATTTAAAAGTGACATCTTTGATAGTTTGGATTACGAATATATTTTAGATATTTTTCGTATTATGAAAACACGTCGTGGAATGTGGATTATTGTAACAAATAATAAAAGGTATGTTTTCTTGACAATATAGAACTACACAGTGATATCAAACAGTTTAACCACGATTTAACAATGATTTCAGCATAAAACAGCCTATTGCTAATTTTTTCGGTACAATCTCTGGTATGATTTTTTTCAATCCTTGATTTTGACCCACCTTATCAATATTCCTGGCTACCAATATCTACACCCTTCATTATTTTTATTTTAACATATTTTTAAATGTACGATAAATATTAGATTAAGGATAATTTTGTCAAAAAAATATGGTTTAATACACTTGTATATCCAAAACTTTCACGGTTGTGCCAATAATATCCTAATTTCCCGGAATACCACTTATATCCATGTTTTAAAGTTGTTCTTTGCCAAATCTATCCATTTCCCAATATATTTTTGGTTAAATACACTTGTATATCCAAAAACACCGTTAAAGAATGTGAAGGAATTGGATATAAGTGGTATTTCAAAAAATTTGGATATTATTGGCACAACCGAGAAAGTTTTGGATATACAAGTGTATTTAACCAAAAAAGATACACACCTCAATACAATCTTTTAAGATATAAATTTCTATATATTATATCAAAACCCTACTATCACCCTCTTTCTAACGAAGCGCCTCCATTTTTCCTAGCGATCCCCATCCGCTCTCCTGTCTCTCCTGCAGTTGCTAGCCATAGTCCCTCCCGCCCACCTTCTCTTCCCTTCCCTTCTCTCTCTCCACCTCCCCTCCCAAGTCCCACCGCCCATCACCCTCTCTCTCTCTCTCTCCACCTCCCTCTCCGCACGCCTTCTCTCCCACCGCACACCACCCCTTGTCTCTTTGAGACCGACGAAGAACTTTTCATCCTGGTCAGATTTCAGATCTCGATTTTTAATATTGGTATGCATTTTTCATATTGACATTGATTTTTTTGTAGTGATATTATTTTTTTCCATATTATTATTAATTATGTAATGGTATTATTTTTTTGGTATTGATGCTATTGTATTGGTAGTGATTTTCATGTATTGTTATTAATTAAATCTGCAATGGTATTGGTTAATAAGAGCTATATGTTGTGATAGTGGTATTATTTTTATGTTTTGGTATTGATTTCTTCATTTTTTCTATAATGGTATTGATGTTTTTCGAAGTGGTAGTGTTTGTCTAATGTATTGGTATTGATTTCTTGTTTTATTTTTGCAGTGGTATTAGTTTGGTCGAATAGAGAGAAAAAAAAGATTGAGAAAAAGAAGTAAGAGAGATCTGGTTTGAGATTACATGAGTGAGAGAAAGAGAAAAAGAAAATTTTAATTAATATTTTCTTGTAACTTCCCAAATTTAATTTACTAAAAAGATAATTAATAAATATTTTTTCATACCCAATTTGCACTTAGTAGTCATTGTGATTACTATTACTATTGTCTAGTAATCACCATAACCGCTCCCATAGTGAACATATTTTTCCCTTTTTAGCAATGTTGTCAAAACCAAACCGGTAATGTGAACGACTCAAATTTTAGTGGTTCAACCGGTATAAGATCGTTAAAAAACCGTTAGAGACTTGGTACCTTATAAACAATAATATCAAAATTAGAAGATATATAGCGTATTAATTTAACATTTAATGACTAAAATTAAATTTAGTTTGCAAGTATCACTTAAAATTAATATCAAAATTAGAAGATATATAGCGTATTAATTTAACATTTAATGACTAAAATTAAATTTAGTTTGCAAGTATCACTTAAAATTCAAGAAACCCTACAATTAGTAGCCGCCCCCTT